AATTTTAAGTATTTGTTTTGATATTTTATCTCTAATACGTTGGTAATTTTAAATTTTAATTTTAATTGTTTGAACTTAAGAAAATTAAAAATTCAGAAATCACAATCACACTAAATAAAACGAATAAAAATTTCACAGTATGTTTGATCTTATCAATTGGTCATTAATTTAGTGAAAGTATACTTGGTATCCCTATATTTTAAAAAGTTTCACGTTTACCTCCACATCTCAAGCCCGCCGGTCCGTTACTGTTACTCTACCGTCGCGACTAAAAATTTTTAATTTGGGGTGTAGGTGTAATTACCACTAAAACTTGAGGTGTATTTGTCATTTAACCAAACAAATAAGAATCCCAGTCCTCGTCTCCTTCGTTCGGCCGTCGGCACTTCCTGTTTTGTTTGTGAATGAAGCGGTGGAAAAGAAAATCAGTGTCTCAGAGTCTCAGATACAGCTTCTGCTTTTATTCCGGTGATAGAAAAAGTGTTATATATTTCCATTTCTAGTTCCTTTAAGTAATATCTCTTTGGTTCTCATCTGCATTAATTTTTTTTTTCTTTAGTTACTGCTTATGCTAGTTTGTATGATAAATGTTAAATCTTGCTATCTTATTTTTTCTTTCTTTGGTGGAATGAATTGGCATTTGTTTTTAATGGGTCTTTGATCAAATAAATTAATATAAATTGGGTTGGTGGCAGAAGGTTTTTTTTTTTTTTTTTTTTGTTTGAGGTGATTTAGATTAGAAATCATGCATCTTTTTTGAGGGTAAAATGTATGAAAGAGAAACAAGATGATCAACAATTGGAAGTCATAATCTTGAAGGAAACCAGAGAAATATTTAGTGACTAGTTGATGATGCTAGACTAGAGGAACAGTTATTAGCTAGGCACCATGTTGCAAATTGAATGACATTTTCAAGGAAAATGAAGAGTAGATGGGTCCTTTTGCAATCTTGTTTTTCCATGATTGGATCACTTTACTTTTAGTAGTTAGTAGTTACTCTTGATCTTTTGAATTATGTCATCAATTTTACATTATCCAAGCAGTATTTCTTGTTGAGATGCATTTTTATGAATGGAAGGTTTGATACACGTTGTAACTGTTTCCCGTTCTCCTTTTCTTCTGTTTTGGTAATGAAACTTCATTAAGAAGTTTTGAACCTTGGATCATGCCTCTGCTCTAAAATGCAGTAACCGCTAGTCCAATCCTGTGCTCTTTGATATGATTATAGAAAAGGGGAACTTCTTTTAAAGCTAATTCTCTACAAGTTTTGCACCTGTTTTCCCTTTTTAGCTTTCATTATGTCAAGCAAAGCATGATTGAAAGGCAACAGAAAAGTTCTTGTTTTTGATTTTGAAACCATACTCAATTATTTTTCATTTGTTGTATATGTCTGCCTTAAAATCAAAAGGAAAGAAAGACTTGATGAGTTGTGCAGTGTGTGTGTGTGTGTGTGTGTGTGTGTGATTTGGTGGGTAAAGATTCTAGGTCAAACTGTTTTTAGCAATTCTCAACCTCGGATTACTAGCTAGGGGATTCTGATTACCTTGTCTGGTTTCTTGATCTCTATTTTATGCTATTGATAACATGAACTAAAAGAGAAATTTGTGTCTGAGATTACTCTTGGTGCTCATTGCATGATTGTGCATGAAGCAAGGCCATGTTTTCCATCTCGAAAAATCTCTTATTCTCTCCTACACTTCTTGTGTGAAAAACAAGAGATTACCGAAATAGTAAAGGAATGGGTGACCATTAGATTTGTCTTAGCAATTGGTTGGAATGTTTGGGTCAGGGAGCGGACAGCTGTATTTGGGAGTAAAAGTTTCTGGCATTACTATGCTCTCAATCCTGGGGAGTGTTAGCACAACCCTTGTTCACAGCATAAGATGAGTCTTTCTGTTTTCTGTCTTGCTATTATTACCTTTTGTTCTCTCAGACCATGTCGCCAAAACAAATATTAGAATGATTTTTGGTTGTTAGCCTATCATTAAAGAGAGAAATAAAACTTTAATTAGAAAAGTGTACTCAATAAAACTCAATTTGTAGTTATATAGAATTCAAAGGTGTGTTTCTTTTTCATGCATTTATTGTGATTTAGCTTTTGCACATTATTATATGAGGGCATTAAGATGCCAATATCTCTTTGCAAGTTAGCGAAGCGAGGACGATTAACCAGATGGTTTTAGTGATATAACCTGTGTCTTAGTTTGCAGGGTGCGTGGGATACCACCCTATTATCAAATTGTCACACAATTATTTATCTAAAAATTTCTAAGCTAGAACAAGGTGGCTGCATCACTTGAACTTAGAAAATGTTTTTGGATGTCTTAACCTTCATCTTCAAGTCCTTTGATTTCTTGGTTGGATCCATTAATGTTTCTGATTAGTTATGCTTATACCATTTACTTGTTTCATCATAGTTTGATTTTCTATTGATGAGCTCTACTTGGTTGAGACCATTCTTTGATTTGAATTGGAATTGCTGCCTTTATGTTCTAATCTGTCACTTGTTTCTTCTCATCTGTATTTCCAATTTTGAAAGGCAAACTAAAGTATTTCCAAATAAAAGAAAAAATAGAGGGAATTCGGAAAAAATTAGTTCTCTTCGATGTCAGGCAATTTTCCAGGCTGTAGAACACGTGGAGAAAATGGGGACACGTGGCTTTACTGGAATTTTATCCTTCCTGAGAAGTGCCTTTTTAATCCCTCGTTTGCATCGCAAACCTAAATCTGAAGTGCCTCTCTCACAAAACAGGCAGAGGGAGAATTTTCTTAGCCTTGTTGAAGGAAAAAACTATTTACCAGTATGGCAGACGAAAATTCATCGAAGCCGGTTCCTGAGCACTGGAAACTGGTTGCCGAGAAGAAACGCAATGGGTCTGAAATTTTGGTATTTGATCTTATTATCCTTACTTTTGTGGCTATTTATCATTTATCAATCCAACTTAATCAACTTTTCCTGCATTGATTAATGACTGCATAATAAATTTTAGGTTTTAGTCATACCTTGATTCAATTGATTTACGTTTGGTCATCTAGATTTTGTTACCTATTACGTGAAGCTGCATCCTTTTAGTTGTTCCATGAATGACATCGCTTGTTGTTGAATATCTAGATTACTCATGTCTTGTGTTTTTATCAAAGTGTGAATCTGATTTTTTAACAGATCTAAGTGAAATATGTTATCCAATTCTGATATATAAAAAGCCTAGCTTCTTTGCAGTCCTGACCTCATGAAATTCAAAACCACTGTTTTCAAGATGTTTGAGTTAACAGAACTGACTTTTGCAAATGCACTACATGCTTTTTTCTCTTTTGGCTAACAAATGCAGTACTGGCTGTGTGACCATTTTCCCAGTGCAGTTGGTGGACATTATTCTAAGATTTTTGGTTAACCCAACCAGATAATGTTTATGCCACAATGGCCTTTTAAACTTTTCACTTCACTGTTAGTATCTAAGTTTCTGAACTCAGAAGCTTAATAACTTGGTGGAGCAGGGAATGGTCTCCGAAAAGTTCTATAAACACGATGCAGTTGAAAAAGAATTAGATTAGTGATTAGATCAGTTAAAAGGAAATTAAATTAGCTTGACCTTTGTGGTTGATATTGTGGTTCCTAGGGAAATCAGATCATGCTTAACATATTCTTCAAGTCAATCTGTAAATGCAATACTACTAAACAATTTTTATCCTAGTCGGGATTCTTGCTAGTGGTCATCATTTATACCTGTACTTGTGTGGTGTGATAGTTTTTGTTACTTACATTACATGGCTGATTATTTACTTCTTTTCTACTTATGAATAATGATGCCCCCTTTCATCATGGTTCTTTTTTGATATAACGGAAGCAGAATGGCATCTGTTTAGCAAGAAATAAATGTCTTTGAAAATGTCCATTTATGCCATCAAGGATTCTTTCATGTGATGTGTCTCCAGGTTGCAAATGTATTAAAAGACAAGTTTACAAATTGAAAATGTGTAAGAAGCAACTAAGACTTCTTAATTATGGTATTTGATTGTTACAGTTGCAACTGCTATAGAAATTTCTTGCTCAAATGCTTGAGGATGTGATGCCCATCTTATAGGCTAACAATTAAAAAAATGATTATCCAAAAGAAAAGGAAAACTATGAAAGGGATGTACTGATTATTCTGTTTGGAGCAATTAATAGTTGAAAAGGGAAATTGTCAACATTAATAGCATCACTATGATATCCTCATACTTTTATTTTTTAATGCAAGTAATAACTAACTAATATTGTAAAAAGTTTAACTGCCCTTTTTGTTTGAGATTTTTAATCTTTCATACTTATTATGACGTATTTGTTTGACATGAAACAGCATGTAGCCACAGAGGTGTCTGACAATTTCCCTTTTTCTTAGCTTAAAGGAAGATAACAATAAATCATGCTAATAAGAAAGATTAATTGTGGCAGAATGGATCATGAAGAAAATTAGAAATTTTTTGTTACGTTTATTTTTGAATGTCTGGTATTGTAGGTCTACACATGTCAGGAGACTGGGCAGAAGTTCTACACTTACGAAGATTTGATGCGCTATGTGAAGTATGCCAAGTCAGCTAAGCTTGGTGTCTATTCACCTGTAAGCTCAAACTTCTCATGCATTAATATTTTGTTATCAATTTGTCATAAAAATTATAGAGAATATATATTGTTGATAGACACCAAGTCTTTCAAGTCATGAATTATTATGTTATCAATTCATCAATTATTAGTTCACTCATACCAGGTTAAGACTTTAAAATATTTAGCAAAAAGACTTGAAATGCAAAATTTGGTAAGCTCCAACCTTTAAGTTTTATCTTAAACAATTAAACACTCTATTTAATCCTCTTCTTGTAGTATTTTGACCAACAGAGCAGCAACTCGAAGAAAACAGCTGGCTCATCTTATGTTGATGAGAGTAAGTTCTGAATTCATTCGCTTTTCCTGAGTTCCATGTTTGCTACAACTGCTGCCTTGCTTTTTGTTTTTGTTTTCCAAGCAATATTCTCTACTCTCTGTTGAAGTTTGTAAGTTGCCGTTAGTAATTACATGAATTATCAAAATCACTATGCATTCAACCTTGAAGATGCTTTTGAATGAGAGTATAATCTCCTCAACTCTTTAATTTTCCTCTATGGCTTGGCCCCTGCTTTGGAAAACAACTGATCAAATTATTAACTTGTTGATCTTTGTTTCCCTAGCCCTTAAATTTGATCTCAGGTTTTGTCTTCATATGTTTAGGTGACAATGAAAGCTCAGGCTCTAAATATTCTGATCCCGACCTGCCTCACATTGCTAGCCTTGAGCTTGTGCCAGCTGATAAGAAAGCAAGCATGGACAAGCATTCTGGGTCAGAAGAAAAGACCAGACTCGAGGAGGAGACTTCATGTTCATCTGAGGCAAGCACGACACAAGACAATAAGAAGAAAAAGAAAAAGAAGAACAAGAACAAGAACAAGAATAAGAAGCATAAGAGAAACTGAAGTGAACTATTATCAAGTGGCAACACTGTTGCCTTCGCTATTTATCAGACTGTTTTGTGTTATGCTGTTTGTTGTAATGGCAAACTTGGTGCCTGCTTTACAGTTATCTTGTTTAAGGTTTAATTATTAAGACATTTTTTCAACTATGGTTTAAGCTTGGTGGAATTATGATAATGAAGTTGCTTCCTTTATAATGATAGCTGTTAGTGTTTATATGACTTCACACCTGCATTTGTAGCTGAATTGGTAACCTGATGTTTGGTTTGTTTTCCTTTTCTTTTCTTCTTTTTTTTTTCACACCTTAGTGATGAGTCCGACTACTCACATAGGAGTACTTTTAATAAAAGTTTTAAAGCATAGAAAATCTAAGTATGTATATAAGATGGGAAAAATGACTTTGGGTAAGCCAGATAAAGTATGCATTCTTTGAGAATTCAAGAGCTTATGCTGTTTTTGCTCATACAGAGTGTTTCTGCATTACGCCACCATAGGATCAGACTACAGATAAGCAGGGTAGGAAAATGTCCTAGTGGAACAAACAAAAAAAGATTTAAATATTGGAAAGAATACACAAAATCACCATCCATCATCAATAAAAATGGTAAGCCATGAGTCTGTATGTTTTCTTAATATCAGCTTTGGATTCAATATTACACTTTAAATTGGTGAGTTGATCACTCGTCAAGGGAGGCAAGATTTTGGCTTCAGCTTTTACCTCTTTGATCATCCATGCCCACTAAAAAATACGAAAGAAATCTTGGATAAAAGCAACCTTGTCCCACAACCATATACTGCAAACATCCCTTTCGAATTGGTTGTATGCAGAGTTGCTGGAATGGTGACAAAAAAGCAATCTTGAGATCAGATATCTTAAACTCCATCTAGAAGTCTAGTTGTTCTACAAAAGCTGAATTGTCGCTGCATTTTCAACATAAATATCCCTGGGAAACAATAGACAAGCAAATTGTATTACTTGGTAACTTCAGTGACAAAATCAATTTAGTAATCTGTGCTGATATATAGACACAATCTTATCTTACAATGGGGTCTTACAAAAGTCACGTGGTATAAAACTAATGACTAATTCACAGAACCCACCTAGTGAAACCAATCCTAGTCCTAACTATTGTCACGTAGGATTGTGGACATAGGATTGTGAGGCTCTATTGTAAGATAAGATTGTGTTATCATTTCCTTACAATAAAGACTATGATTATTTAACCCTAATTCAAGAGGAAATATATAAAAAAGGGGAAAAAATTCTGATTCAGACTGACCATATTAATCATGAAAATATGGCATTAACAAATGCCTCTGCATCAAAGGGTTGGAGGTCCTCTACACCTTCACCAACACCAACAAACTTCACAGGGATGCCAAGCTCATCAACCACACTTACCTGCAGAAGAAAATGGTCTCCAACAAAATAAGCAGTGTTGGCTCACTCAAGAACAGAATTGACATGCTTATCCACACAAAAACAGGAAAAAAAAAGAAAAGAAAAGAAAAGAGTAAAAACTAAGGGATACCACGCAGCCACCTCTAGCAGAACCATCCAGTTTAGTCAAAATCAAACCAGTTATTCCAACTACCTGTCAAAAGAAAAGGAACATCAATAGGACTTTTCTATCAGCTTCAGAGCACAATGAATCTACATTGTTGCCACTATAGTCTGCAAACATTGAATACAGTATCATGTCTCAAAACATAAACCATACCTAGTTCCAAACTGATGCTAAAGGTAAGGAAAATATTTAATCAGGCTAACAAGAAAGAAAATGTTTCACAAACATAGCTATCTCGGTGGAGAAGGCAAAAAGTACCTCATTAAACTCTCTTGCTTGTGGAAGCATATTCAAACCAGTATTCCCATCAAGAACTAATAGAATCTCCTGCACACATCATGTGGTGATAGACTTATGAAAACTCATGCAGAGGAAATGCCTAATCTCAAATGAAAACCAGATGTGTTCAAATAATTTCAATGTCAAGAAAATGTTAAGGGTACCAAAGAGTTGGAGCTTACATTAGGTGCACCACGTACAACTTTGCCTACAGCCTTCTTACATGCTATCAATTCTTCCATCAAGCTGAAATTAGTGTGAAGACCTGAAGAACAATAAAACTTAAACCATTTTAGAGAGAATCAAAATGCACTAAGAACCAACCATAAGAGGTCAATATACTTACGTCCAGATGTATCACACAAGACAACATCAAAACCTTCCTCCTTCCCTCTTTTCACAGCCTGTGAAAGAACTATTCAGAAAGCACTTTATGATCACTTGTCAGCAGTTGTACTGAACAATTTAATTTTTCACTATCTAATAAGGTTAGCAGGATGCAAAATTTGTGTGATTTCCCCACCCCATCCATTTTGGTCCCAACAGGAATGATTTTCATAAGATCCTCTGCTTATCTACCTGATGATGCTTTGGCATTCTCCTGTTCAGCTATGACGATCTCACAACCAGTCCTCTCAGCCCATATCTCTAGTTGATCAGTGGCAGCAGCTCTGAATGTGTCACCTGCTGCCATCAGTATCTGTCACAATCACAAACAACACAATAGATGAGGTAAAAAGTGGAGGATTATCACCTTGCACGTAAAGGCAAAAGCAATGTGCAAGCTTTAGCAGCTCACCTTTACACCTTCCTTCTTTAGTCTATAAGCCAGCTTTCCTGGGATGGGTAGTTGATGAGACTATCAGAACTCAGAAAGCAAATAAACATGTCAAAAACATGTATGTTATAAAGTTTCCATTAAAAAGGGGAAACAGCTAACTTACCTTTTCCAGTATTTTCAAAACCAATTATGATCTATAAGGTTGCACGGTTGCATTGATATTCATAACTACATGGATACTATAAAACAGACCTTGACAAAAATACGGATATATCACCTAAATGTGTTCACCAAGAGTTCTCTTTTAGACCTAAATTATGTCAAAATAATTGTGGTTGGGCTCTCTTCCTTTATAGTTCTTGAACCTAGGTGAGTAACCCATTGGCACATATTTTAGGTGTCTTACCAAGAGATGTTGTCTTCCCACCCCCATTGACACCAACAATCATAATCACAGCTGGTTTCCTGATAACATAACACATAACAAGAGAAACTTGGAGTCAAGGAAACTTTCACTTCACAACAACTGAACAACAGTACAACGACAAAAATCAAAAGGCAAACATATATACCGAAAACCAAGTTCAAGCTCTGTCTTATTCCCTTTCCTTGTTAAGAAATCCAACACACTTTTCTTCAATGCATCCTACATCCATATAATCCAAATCAAATATGCTATTCCTTAATCAACCGATTCACATTCCACAGTCTCAGTGGGTATCTTTAAACAAATTGATTGATGATAAATATACCTTTATTTCACTTCCAGATTTAAGCTTTCCTGCTAGTATATCTTCACGCAAGCTCTCCACAATCTTAACGGTGATTCTTGGGCCAAAATCAGAAACCAATAAAGCCTGCAATCAAAACATACTAAAAAGTATAGAAACAAAGATTCAATCCAATATATTGAATTAATTACTGTTCGTTCCATGCGGCATTATCAATTCTGTTCTTCTCAGCATTGTTTGGTTTGCAAATCAGTACTTTTGTTCTACTCAATTCTTGCTATTTGGAGTGTGCTTCAGCTTTCACTAGCAATACAACTACTTGAGAGCTGCATAACTTTTGTGGAATTCATCTAAAAACTAGAATCACGAAACAAGTGGTGGAAAATAGAAACCTCTTCGAGTTCGTCGAGGATTCGATCTGTCTCAGCGAGGTTCCAGTACAACAACAGCTCGTCGATGACGGCGAGGTTGTCTCTTGTTCTAGAAAATCCAGAGAAGATCTTGTCCACGTCGCTCTTGGCCTTCTCCTTGATTAACCGGCCGAGTCGCGTGAAGAACCCAGTCTGACCGGCCAAACACTTGAAGCGAGATGCAACGAGGCGGGTGGTGGTTGACGGAGGAGAGAGCTGACGTCGGGGGAAGTTGCAGAAGAGTGTGGAGGAGCCGGAAGCGAGGGAGAGATGACTAGAAGGAGAAGCCATCGCGCAGTGTCTCTCAGGCGAGCTACTGGTCACAGAATCGCCGAGGGAGACGCCACCGGATAAAATGGAAAGCGGGAAACGACGTCGGTCCGGTCAATCTTTCCATCAGTCCTTGAACTTACACCCAGTTATCAATGAGAAAAAATTACAGAAAGGTATAAGGGTATAAATTAAAAAAATATGAAATATATATATTTTTTGTTATTAATTTATATTAAAAAATAAAAATTTGTTTTTAATTTATTAATTATTTAATTAAATTCATTTGATATTAAAATTAATATCAAATTTTATATTATATATTTATAATTAAAAAATATAATAATTGCATCTTTATTTTAAATTTTATAGCACAAATAGAAAAATCCTTACTGATAAAGATAAAAACTTCTTTTTTTTAAAAAGTGTAAATTTGTAAAGTTTTTAACTCATGTTATAAATTTTTATTTTTTTCAAAAATAATATTATAAATTTTGTTTTTTTTATTTAAAAATTTATTAAATAGCAGTGATGATGTAGCAATTATAATTTTAATTAAAATAGAGTAAAATTTATATTTTTAAATAGAGGAAGTAAAAAAGTTTTATTTTTTAAATAAAAAATAAAAATTTACTCCTAAATTAAAATTTTTTAAAATTCATATTTATATTTTAAATTTTTTAATAAGATAAATTTTTAATAAGGTTTTAATTTTTTTAAAAAAATTAAGATTAATATGCTTTTTTTTTTATATAAAAAGAGATAAATTTTATATTCTTATCTTAAATCTTTTCTCAGTATTAATTAATCTCTATATCAATTTTCAGTCTAACCCTCAAAGTTATAAATGCGACACATGTGACCAAATTAGACGGAGACCGCACAGGGCCATAACCGTATAAAATTAATAGATTAGTCCAAAGAGTATCACGATTAAAATTTAGTAAATAATAGATAGTAAATAATAGATAATGAATAATAATAACAGATAGTAGTTAGCAATTTATGGATACTGAATGATGGATAGCAGAAAGTGGATAGTAAATGATAATAAATTCGATAAATATAACTATTTAGTGATATAATAACTAATAGTTATTTATATTAAATGACTTAAAAATAATTAAATATATTTTTTCAAATATTTTTTATTTTTTATTATTAAAATTATTAATTTTATAAAAATAAATAATAAAATAAATAAATAAAATTAATTATAATAATATAATTATATCTTCCTTTTTTTTTTTTTTAAATAAAAAAATTATATTATTTTTAAATTAAAAAATTAATCATTTTGTCTAATTAAAAAATTTTATTTTTTAAAACAATATATTTTTTGATGATAAATTAATGTACAAAATAAAAATATTATAATCACTTAATGTTATTAAAGATAGAAAAAAATAAATTTGAAACTTATTAAATAAATATTAATTAAAAAATGTGACAAAAAATTAAAAAAAATAAAATGGATAAAATTGTCAATAAAATTAAAAATTTTCAATCCATTAACAGTTTAGTACAAAAAGCTACATAATCTAATTTTTTCAATCCACTAATGATTTGGATTCCAACTATCATCTGCTAATCCTAAACAGCTAAATAAAAATTTTACCAAACAGCTTATTTGTAGTGGTTTCGAAATATATAAGTTTACTAAACATCTATACTTAACGATTTAACCAAAACCACTAACTGTTATTTTAAAACCATTATACTAAATAAGTCTTAATTCGAGTTATAAAAATGCAATTAATATTTTTTATTAATTAATATTAAAAATATAAAATTAATAATAATTTTGAATTTTAGTATATACTAATCTCGATTTTTAAAATAATTAAATTTATATTTAAAAACTAAAATCTTAATTTAAAATTAAAAATATAATTGTTTTTTAAATATAAATATTAATATTTAATAAGATAAATTTTTGAATTTTATATTAAATTTTTATTA